CCAACGAGGGGTGGTCAACCTGCGGGACAGTAATGATTGAAGCCTTGGGCTCGTAACCCTGTTGAGGGCGATCTAGGCGCCCTGCACAGTGATTGGGGATGAAGAAGTTCCCATTTATTGTAAGGATGTGCTTGGGAAGGTGCAACACGATCAAGGCATACCTTCACAGTGATTGGGGATGAAGAAGTTCCCATGATCACTGAATGTAAACAAGAACTGATTATAAAGGACCTCGGAGAATAGGGAGAAAAAGAAGAAGTAGAAGGAAATTGGCAAAAGAAGGGGCTGTGCATTATTTCTTCTCAACACGTTGACGAGCGAGGCGGAGGGATCAAGTAGAGCGCAAGGGCTTGGTACCGCTTCTCGGTTTGCAGGAGCGTGGCGAGGCGGAAGCGGTCGGCGCCTGGGAGGTAAGGGAGGATCGTCTTCGGGTCGGATTGGGCGACGGGCAAGATGGACAGCATCATCGCTGCGCCACAACCAATGACGATCAGAAACTGCGCCAAGAAACGGCTGTCTGGCCCTAATCTCGTTGCCTGCAACCGCTGTCTCCGCCATGGAGGATGAGGAATGAGAGCAAGGAAGGGCGACCGTACATCAAACAGGAGGGCGCATGCAAGCGAACTTAGAATAGGAAGCAAAGCAAAGAAAAGATAAGCCTCTCAATCCACCCTTCATACTCTGTCATTTGAACTGCTTGTGAACCCAACTGCCGGCCGAAGAGCGAAAGCAACTTGAAGCGGGCAACCCCGGACTGCGCCCAGCACGTTTTTTCAACAAGGGAAAAAGGATGAAAAAAAAAAAAAAAAAAAAAAAAAAAAAAAAACTCGACTGCTTAGTTACGCTGCCCCCCTTCGGCCTTATCCGTTGCGCAAACGATCGTGCTTGCGCATGTTCATTCTTCGTTCTTCCAGAAGAGAACGCAGAGAAAATTAAACATTATTTCAGTGAAGCGATACCAGCCCCGTGACAATTTGAAGCGGACTGGCCCTCGCTTCAGTGAAACCGTCGATAATCGAAAAAACCACGAACGTTAATTTATGAAAGGAGGCACCGACTTCTTCAAAGTCTGCTGCGATCGCGACCCTCTCCTGTCCCAACACGATGACTGGCTGAGGCTTGTTGAGAAACTGCGAAAGGAGAATGACCTCCTGTGCAATCGTCAGATTGACGACTGTCGGAAACAGGGTCGAATCCAGCGCTTTCGACGTCCCCGCCGTGGTCGCAAGACCCAAGCCGCGGCTCCCAGGTCCTGCACCGCGACACTCGCAAACCTAAAGTCCGTCTTGTTCAACACCGGCAGGCGTTGACGTCACTCTCAGCACCACGCCGTGGAACTGCAGCGGCTGCGAGGTTCGTCTTCTACTGCAGCAGCGCCAGGAGCGTCAGCCGCTGGAACACGACCTCCAGCACGTCCGAGGCGGCCCACGCCCCGCCCACCTTGACCGACGTCGTCACGTTGGCCGTGGTGTCTTTGAGGGTCACCTGCCCGTCGGTGTTGGACGCGTACAATGAAAGCAATGCCCACGAGCCTTGACTTGGCAGATGTTTGATCATGGAAAGATAGCACCCGTCGGACTGCGTCCGGACGGAGGTCAGCGACCTCACAAAGAGACGGTGGGACCGACACGGACACGGAACAGCGGCGCTTGCCTTTGCTAGCATCCTTCTTCCAGGGTCTGAAAGTGTAACGACGTGCAAACGGAGATCAGCCTTTTCTTTCCCTGTGAACGCAGCGCGTGGGCGTCCCTGGCTGCGCTGTCTTGCCTCAACATAGAAGCGAATAGCTCATTTTACCAGATACCCCATATGCGCAGAATTGGCCACTCGGCAACTGTGCATCGAACTTGGTTGGACGATCTTGATTCGGCGGCATCGTCGCTTAACTCAAAGTTCCTTCCGATATGACGAGGGCAGATCGAAGGTGCACTTCACCCGTTCCGCCGGCAGCAACGGGCCGGCCTTCCGCACAGGCTTCTTCTCGGGTATCCTCATCCCGCAGCGAACGGACTCGGCCAACCCGATACCACAGTGAATCTAACACCAACACCGGACAGCTCCGGCTCGATATCTCCCTACTGCCTGGAGCGCAGGCGGCACTTCACCTTCAAGCATATAAAACTAGCGTGACTACCTTGGTCTCCCATGCGGAGGATCGAGGACGAGGCTCTTCGCATCAGTGAAGAAGAAAAAACGAAGAGGTTCTTGTCGGCAACCCATCACCAAATCGTCACATCCGCCGCAGTTCCGAGGTTAGTGTTGAACACAACTGGGCCGATTGGTTGAAGAGGAAAAAGTAAAATTTTTTATCGGCAGACGGCTGTTTGCCCTCATCATATTTCTGTGAACGTGTGCCTGGGCTTGATTGTACGCTGCCAGATCTGCACCTCCTCTCAAAACTGCGGATTATAGTCTTCGTGTCTGCCTTAGTGCTTGACAGCGGTTCAAGAAGACGGAAGAAGAGACGAAGCTTTTTGTTCGCCCGAAGTAGCCTGCAAGTTTCTCTAATCGTGTCCGGTTCCTCCGGCGTGCGACAAAGGCGTCACCATCAAACTTATCCTCCTGCTCGGACAGCGGTTTTCTTTCGCTTTCCACGCGAATCTCCACAAGCGCGGTCGCATGCGAGTCGGCAATGTGCGCAAAGAACTGCGCCCACGTGCAGCCGGCGGCGCCCTGCAGTTCGTCAGCCAAAGGCGCTCCAAGACTTTCGCGGCGCCTCCAAGAACTCGACCAACCCCATGTCAACGGTGAAGCCCACCAACTCCAGCTCCCGCAGCTGCGGCATCGACTTTGTCCAGATCTTCTTGTCAAAGCGCAAAATTGAGTTATCCAGCTGCGCGACCACCTGCAACACGCGCAGCTTAAGTGGCTTCTTCGGTACGTCGACGGACACGAACTCTGCGTACCCCTCCATGTGATAGGACGCCAGCCATTTTCGAGTGTGTCTCCCCATAGGCCGATCGACAGACGCTTCAGCCTGCCTATGAACGCGCGCCACCGCGCCGTTCTCCAGCTCGTGGCGATCTTTGGCGGCAGCTCCCGCACGCCGCCGTTCTCCATTTGCCGCTGTGAGTCCTCCTCCTGTTTGCGTCCACGAGCGACTGAAAGTCGAGCGTCCGCACGGCATCCTTTGCCGCCAGCGCTTTCCAAGCGTTTGATCATGACGGTTGCACTGAGCTTGGTGACGCGGTGCTGCAAGAAATCGAAGTCGGAGTCGTCGTCATCGGTGTACAGCGTGGGAATCTAGGGCGGTGCCGTGTCGCACTGCAACTGGTCAGCTTGATACGCTCCAAAACATCAGATTGAGCCCCCCAAAACTTAAATCAGCCTCAAGTCCACGTTAAAGTTCACCAACTCCAGTTCCCCACCCGCGACATCGGCTTTGCTGCGGCAAGCAGGAACAAAAGGATGCCGCCCGCCGCCGGGTGTGGACCGTTCCCAATGGCCCGCAACGCCCGCTGCTCCCTCGCCTTCTTGCCCAAGATTTCCTGCAACAAACCCTTGGTACTCCGCCATGTGGTTTCGACCCTCACAGAGCGATCGAAAGCCGCTTCAGGCAGATTGTCGTGACTTTGGGTGACAGCGCTTGCACGCTGAGTGTGCTCACTGCGCCGTTTGCTGCTACCGCGTGCCAAGCGTCGGACATGGCTCGCCGATACGGGTATAGTTCCTGCGCTGCTTCCACTTTTCACGCAACTCGTAGACGAGGAAGGTCGCCGGTTCCGTTGCTGCGCTTGCTGTCATCGGACTGTCATCGGGCGTTGGAAAGAAATTAGCAAAGTGCAGATGTGCAGCGTGGTGTCCCGACGCGGCGGCCACCGCGTCGATTTCGGCCAAGGTTCGCACAGCGAGGGCAGGATGAAGTGGTTCGAGCATAATTGATAATGAGGGATTGGTTGAAGACAGCGCCATCTGGGACATTCTTTGGCAGAATGGATGGGAATGTGGCCTGTCCAGCTCAGCCTCGCATCGGTTTTCAATAAATGATATCTTTCATTGTTGACTAAACATCATCAATAATTAACTCAATAATTACAATCGTCGCTGGTTTTCAGGCAGTTTGGCCAAAATTTGACAAACTCTTTACGGAGTTCAATATTTCAGTCACTTTGCTGACGGTGGCGCGTTCACCCTCGCCTGACGTGCCATATCAAAAGTCGAAGATGAATTTGGTGTGTGTGAATGTCTTTTACCTTGTTCCTGGCTTTTTAACTATAACGTCCATGTGCACTGAATGTTTATCGTTTCTTCCCCTATTTGTTGCGTGACATTTTTTTTTTTTCACCCTCCCCCCAAGAACGGCACTCAAGAGTACAGGCTCTGCTGGCCACACGTGGAGCCTCTCAAACTCGGCGAGCACTATCGTCTGATCGATGGTTACCACGATGATCTTTCACCACATATATTCTAAATCGACTTCTTTGGCCGGAAAGATAGTATCATTGCTGCGCCACAACCAATGACGACCGCAAACTGCGCCAAGACTGCAGCTGTTGTCCACCGCCAAGGAGGATGAGGAATGAGAACATTTTACGGTGATCGTACATCGAACCAGTAATCCAGGCGAACGTAGAAAAGGCATCAGTGCAAAGAGAAAATGAGCCCCTTAATCCACCCTTCGTACCTCGGTCTATTTGAACTGCTTTGTGGACCCAAATTCCGGTTGCAGCGTGAAAGAAAAAACGGGCAACCTGGGACTGCTCGCGAAAACAACAGGGGAAAAAAAAAAAAAACTACATAAGAAAGAAAAGAAATCGGCTCCTCAGTTCACCAATTTGCCGGAGTTACGTTGCCCACTTCGGCCCATGTCCGGTTGCGCAAACGATCGTTGATTGGACACTCTACTTCCAGTTTCTGAAAGAAAACGTTAAATTAATTGACATGCTTAGCAGTCACACTTGTCCCATTGGCGGAATGGTAAACGCTGTGCTACTTTATGGAGCTACTTTAAATAGAGCCTCCCCGTCGGTGGTTACAGGTTTGAGTTTTTGACTGCAGCAGCCCCATTGGCGGAGTGGCTAACGCGGTGTCCATTTAAGGCATTTCCCTTCCAGGGAGTGCAGGTTCGAGTCCTGTGTGGGGCGCACCATCGTATGCCCTTTGAACGAATTGGTACTCTCGGGCAGTCACCAATTCTGCACGATGATGTGTGGGGGGTTTATAAATTCTGGCGCGACTGTCAAACTGTCTGGAAAAAAATTATTACCCACACAATACAACTAATTTTGTTACTTTTTTTCCACAACCACCCGTCCCCAACACGATGAGGGAGGCACTCATATTTAAGAAAAACAAAGGAACAATGAAAGGAACGACAAGAGCTGCCAGGATGGGGGGCGGGAGACGACTCGGGCGGAGTGCGCAGCTGGGGGGGCTTTTCGACGGAGGACCAACAGCACGAACAAGAAACGGAACAAAAAGGGTACGCGTTGGACGTTGGTGTTGTGCCTGATCCGCCTGCAGAGGCGGAAGGACGGGGTGTGAGGCAGACGAAAAAAGGAGAATGTGGGGAGAGAGCGGTACGTTTCAAATGGATGAGCACGTCGCAAACGGCGAAGAAGAAACAGAAACAACGGGGAGGATTTTTAGGAATGCGAAACTAGCAGGTTTTGTTTTTGGCCCCAAGGAGAGAAAAAAAGGATTGGAATATAGAAAAGACGAGGTTGGTTTGATCTTTAGTAGGCAGGGGAGCAGAGAAAAAAGGTTCCAATACGGGCAGGCACGGCAAGATGGACGGGATGGACATCATAGTACAGTGCAAACCAAACAGCATAAAATAAGTAAAAGATCTCCGTGAGCAGCAGCGGGTGTAACAGGAAGCGATGAGATTCTAAAACAACGTAGAAACTCCTATTCCAGTCAGCAGAAGTCTAGTCTGGAGGTGGAGGAGAAACACCCGAGATCCCCCCAAGAGGTAAGAACCTCTTCATGCCCGAAGGTACCCCGACGGCGGAGAGTTCGCCGCCGCGGCGGGCACGTACACCGGGTTCTGCGCGCCGCCGGTCTCGTGGTACGCCGGCGCACCGGCGCCCCCGTACGAGTGCAGCGTCTCGCTCGCGTACCCGGACGCGGCGTGCAGCTCCGCCCCGTCCTTTGGCGGCGGCAGCGGCGGCGCCGAGCCGGCCTCCGACGACACCGAAAAGTCGACCTTTTCGGGATACACCGGCGCCGCGTACGCCGCCGCGGCTGCAGGTGCGCCGGCCGTCGCGTACCCGTAGTCATATCCGTACGCCGTCGCAGGCGCAGGGTTCGACGCTGGGTAACCGTACCCGTACACCGCGGCACCTCCGTCGCCCGCCGCGGTGGCGGCCCGGGTCTCTTCCCGCCGCGCGACGACCGCTGCGATGCCCGCGAGCACTGCGGCGATGGTTGCTGCGGCGGCGGCGCCGGCGACGTCGGCGGGCAGGCCGCCCGTCACGGATGAGTTGATTCCGTTCCGGGCAAAGGCGGTCATGATCTTGTTGCGCAGCACGACGCCGAACGCGATGATGAAGGCAAATGCGAGGAAGTACAGGGCGGCCGTGAGGGCGGCGAGGGCGGAGGCGGCGACGGCCAGGCCGCGGGCGGCGCGGCGGTTTCGCGGGGCGGAGGCGGAGACCGCGGAGCCCGGGTGGACGATGACGCCGATGGCTGAGAGGAGCCAGGCGACGAAGAGGATCGGGAGCGCGATGAAGAGCAGGAGGAAGGCGAGGGAGTTGACGGGGAGCGGAAGGGAAGCAAGGACGTCGAGTTCGGTCAGGGTAGCGGTTGTGCTGGCGAACGTCCGCGGAGCCGGCGGGTTCAGCGTGTACGTTGCGGTGAGGATGCTCTTGAACGAGTACCAGGCGCAAGCGGGTCTGTTGTAGTTGGTCACGCAGAAGCCCTGGGTGCACATGGGTTCGTTAGGAATAGGAAAGGAAAAAACAAAAAAAAAAGGGCAAACTAGTTTGGACAAACCCAGAGAGTGAGGAACGCCGGCGTGTAGCGGCTGCTTGGGTTTGTCACGGAGCGGATCTCGAGGTACGAAATGGATTTGACAAAAGTTACGTCGGACCGCCCGCTGAAAAAGGCGACGACTGCAAGATGGTGCGTGTTTTCGTTTGTCAGGTTGGCAAAGTCAGATCAGACAGAAGCATTCGGTTGGGGGGAGGTCCCGCCTTTGGGGAAGAAGGAGATGGGGAGGGATCTAGTCGTGGCGGTGGTGGGGTACGGTGATCTGCATGCAACGGGCCAACCCCAGCCACGCACGCACACACGAACGCACACAGGCATGCACGCAAGCACGCACGCAAGCACGCGCTTGCCATCAACCATGCGAGAAGAGACAAGACAATCGCACCAGGTTTGGGAGAAACGGCAGGCTGGGCGAGAGGGACTTTATGCACGCAGAGTGACAGGACGAGGGGGGGTGCGGGTGGGCAGGGGGTGTATGAGAGGCTCCATCTTTCTCTCTTCTTACAGGCGGGGAAGTAGGCGAACGAGAGAAGCAGGAAGGCGAGGGCGAGGAGCACTCGCGAGGTCGACGGCGAGGCTGGCATGTATGAGTCGTTCGTTGGTTTGATTTTTTTGGATTGAGTGATGAGTGAATGGTTTGGTTGCTTCGTGGCTGTGTGGGTGTGTTGGCGTGACAAGGGAGAGATAGAGAGAGAGAGAGACACAGAGAGAGAGAGAGAGAGAGAGAGACCACAAATTTATTTCCTTTTTGTTGACAATAAAACAGTCATTCAGCAGGTGATTATGCGTCCAGAGATCCAACAAATCCAACAAGCTATATTTATTGTTATTATTCATTGCAAGCGTAAACAATCAATCATGACGCACACAGGCGGTTCGAGAGACGGGTAGTAATGGGCCAACAGAAACGAAAAACGACGAGAGAGAGAGAGAGAGAGAGAGAGAGAGAGAGAGAGAGAGAGAGAGAGAGAGAGAGAGTGCAAGAAACAAAAAACAACAACCTCTCTTTAAAGACGATGGGGGTGTGCGGCGGGTGAGTGACTTGCAGAAAAATGTAGCGCGAGATTGAAGTGTGAAGAGTGATCGGCCGGTTGGCAAAGAAAAAATAAAGCAAGCGAACTGGCCTAACCACTCTTCACCGCCGCGCGCTCCCGCCACGCACCAGATACACCTTGTCCCCTCCCTTCCCGCCCCCGCTGCCGCCGGCAATGCTGCTCCCGCTGCTGCCCCCACTTCTCCTCCCAAACGCGCCACTGACGCCCTTCCCCCACCCTGCCGCGCCCCCTTCGCCGCCGCCCCCGAAACCGCCGCCAGAAACAAGGAACTCGTCGCCCTCCACGCTGCCGCCGCCGCCGCCAGTCCTCTCCCCCGCCAACGCTGTGCGCGCGCTGTGGACGCTGCTCCGGACGCTGCCGCCACCGCTGCCGCCAGCACGGACCACCCGGAACACGCCTCCGCTGCCGCCGCTAGCACCGCTCGACACGCTGCCGTCGTCTGACCCCGCGTCCGCCGTTGCTGCAACAGGTACCGTCCCGCCGGACCCCGTGGACCCGCGCCGCCGTTCACGCAACGCCACAGCCGCCGCCGCCGCCGGTTGCGCAGGCCCGCGCACAAGGTACACGGGCGACGACCCCGCCGCCGCTGCCCCCGCCCTTGCCCCCGACGACGACGACGACGACTTTGACTGCGGCGGTGCAGAAGCAGCGGCAGCCGCAGCAGCCGCAGCCGCCACCCGCGGCCCGCGCACCGAGTACACCCCGGCCGCCGCCGCGGCCTCCTCCCGCCGCCGCTCCCTTCGCACACGCACCCCCTCCGCCGCCGCCGCCGCCAACGCGCGCCCGAGCCTCGCGACGCCGCCGCCGCCTCCTCCCTCTGTAAACGTCGTTCCCGATGCGGACCCCGACGACGACGACGACGAGGACGAGGAAGGCGCCGGAGACCGGCGGCCCGCGGAGGACGCGCCGGCCGCGGAGACAAACGCGCGGAAGGAGTCCCCGAAGAGCGTCGGGAGAACGCTGCGCTCGGCCACGTCGTCGAACACGTCTGCGCGCAGCGGTCGCGGCGGCGGCGAAGACGCCGCGTCGTCGATGAGGGACGCGGCGAGGGCGGCGGTCGCGGCGTCGCGGAGGGATCCCGGGATGTTGACTTCCAGCGGGGCGCCGACGGCGATGAAGGTTGCGTGGAAGGTCGTGTAGAGGGGAAGCAGGAGGGCGGGGACTGTGACGGGCGGCGGTAAGTCGGCGGCGGCGGTGGGGACGGCGTGAGGGCGGGTGAAGCGGAGGATCGGGGCAGGGAGGAGGTGGCTCGCGGATGGGGACGGGGAGCAAAGGGTTTGGGCGGAGGGGGAGGGGGAGTGGTGCTGGCGCATGAGTGCGTCGAGGCCGATGAGGCACTCGACAAAGAGGACGCCCTCTGGGGTGCGGTCGACTTCCTGCGCGTGGCGCTTCAGCTGCGCAAAGAGGGCGGGCGTTGAGAGGACGAGCTCGAAGCTGGGCTTGGTGAATGTGAGGGGCGGGGTGGGCTCTGGTTGTGGGAGAGGTGGAGCAGACGATGAAGACGATGACGAGGACGACGACGACGGAGGTGGTGGCGGGCTGTCGATGGCAGTCGAGGCGGAGGAGGATGTGGTCGCGAGAGAGGATGCCGAGGCGGACCAGGCCGGCGGTACGATTGCCGGCGGCCGGCGGGAGGGTGGTGGCAGTCCGAATGGAAGGGGTGCGTCGTGGTGGAGCTCGCATGGATCGACGGAGGAGGCGCTTGCACCAACAGAGTTCGCTTTGGCTAGATCGTCGTCGCCGTCGACGTCCGTCGCCGCCGTCGCCCAGGAAGAGGAAGAGGAGGAAGAGGAGGAGTGGCGGCGGTGGGAAGTTGCTAACGGTGCTCCTCCTCCTCCTCCTGCTCCTGTGGAGGACGACAACGGCGACAACGACGACAACGACGACGACGGCGGGGACGAGGCCATGCTGGGTGGAGGAGGCCGTCTGTCTGTCTGTCTGTCTGTCTGTCTGTCTGTCGGACAGCCTGTCTCGCTGTCTGTCTCGTGGATGTTGGTCTTACACCACGCGTCTGTCCTCCGCTCCGAGCGAGCGCGATCCACACGGGAACGATTGTGTGCGCAGCGTAAAGACTCATCCTTGGATGAAAGAAAGAG